GGCATCAACTCGAAGATAACGAATGAACAATGAATGCGCATTTCTTCTGAACGATAGTTCGATGTAATAGTTCCGATAAATAAAGCTTGGGCGTTCATATGTCGAAAGGTAAGTTTATTTACTAACTGAAGAACAAGACTACTGCTACACTCAACGCCCTATTTATATACATGATTCCAATATTTCAAACACTAGTCTCTGTCCTCTAGTCCGGCTCCCACTATAAAAGTGTGGGCTAGTTACCAACGATGTTTCGTGCACGGGCAGTACCAGACTTTCAATACCAGCGTATCTTAGCGCTGAGGTAATGAGTATGCATGAGATGAATAGCACAAACTACAGGCAATCTACCGGCTTACTAGCCGCCACATTCGAAATACTTACACAAGTACTCTCATAACTTTAAGTGAACTAATAGACTTTTTGTGTATGACCTTTGTCATGCCAACAAGGCGGCAACTAAAAGATCTCGTGATTTTTGGATTACTGATAAATAAGATTCCCTTTTTTTGATGGTTGGTTCAGGCGTTATCATTAATTTTTTAGCCTGGGTTTCAGGCAAAACAGAATGGGGCTGTTTTCTTTACTGTATTTTAAATGGAGATTTGTTTAATGGTTGTAATTTTGGGTAAAAATCTTTTGCGGTTGTAGGATCACTGCTAAAAGGACTATTCAAAAGTATGGGTGAAAAAACTTTTGGTTCACTAGTATTTGGTATGATTGATGTAGTGTTCTCCTTATTCCACATGGAATCAGAGAGTCTTAGCACTAGATCTATTTTGAAACAATAAGAAGACAGGGGTGATGGCAATGGAGCCATCTCATTTTTACCTCCAGATGAAATCGGAAATAAAGTTTATTTTTATTTTTGTTTTTTGTTTTTTTTAATTAAATGAAGAATAAACTTGAAAATCTCGAAAATATCACGTGAATTGATTTAAAGTCACCTGATGATGCCTCTAGAACGCGTTGCGCACCAAGCCTCGAGCCTTGGCAAGGCTAGTGTAAAAAACTTTTCGTCCAGAGAGTCAAATGTTGGTTTTTGGTCGAAATATGTTGCAGTAGGTGGATACAAATATCAAAATTTACATCGATACGATGCTGTTGAGGAGGCGAAACCGAACGTCGAGTTTATAATGCTGTAGCTGATGGTGGGAAGAAGTTGTAGATGAAAAGGCTATTTTTGAGGGTTCGTTTTTGGCAGTGGCCTCTGCAGCTTTCTGCTTAACTTCGAATTCCCGTATCGAAGCGTTTCTGTGAGCGTCACAAAATAGCACGGGCTAAGCAATGACAATATCGAATCAAGTAGAGGCTCATGTCAGGATTATAATATATAAGATTCTAAACGGTAAAAGAGGAAGAGAAGAAAGCTTCTACAGATCGATAACAGTACATAATTTTCACCTGGCCTGTGCATTCCATGCAGGGCAGATCTACATAATAATGACTAATTACTATGTCATTGCATCAGTACCCTATACTATGGTGCAGGGCCGTTACAGTTTTTTCATAGTGTCACTGCTCTCAGATTACTGATTCTCACTAACCAACTCTGGGATGTCGCGTCGCACCCGGGCAACCGAGTTATGACGTACATATAATAACATAATTTAGGAATTGTAATTGTTACATTGTTGTGATAGCAACAGTTGCCATTCCGAGTACTAGTTAGTTGCTGTGTTAATGCTGTGGACTATTACATTCTTAGTTACAGTATTGATGCTCGTGTATTTAAGGAAACTCTAGGACCACTTTACTATTGCAAACTACTATATTGTAAAATACTTATGTTTTAGAATGTAATCATGTATCTGAATATCTCGTCTTCATTATCAGTCTCTATCTTCGTCCTCGTCCTCGCCGTCGTCCGTGTCACTAAACTGGGGTGGTCGAGGGTAATGGAGGAAACTCGTCAGTTTCGACCGTAGAATTCGAGAAGTCGAGCATATTAATCGTGGAGCAGTGGAAGGCTTCAGGTGGAGACGCTACACTTTGAGTGCCCTTAGTAGTAATTGGAATTTTAGCTGGTGTATCAATCATTGCTTTTGCACAAGAGACTTTTGTTGCCAAAGGCCAAGCTCGCCCAATGTTGGGGACACTTTTCTGGATACGGTTCTTTGGATCTAGAGTCTCGGATGCACCGCGCTTTTTATCGCGGGCCCGGGGCGCCTTATCCTCTACGCAGAGAGTATGGAGTGAAATAATTGAAAAGAAAATAGCAGGGTAGGACCAGTGTGAAGTGAGATGTAAAATTGGTGAATGTTGATGATGCTCTTATCTTTTATCATTTAATGTGTATTCAGCTATCTAGCTATGACACATGACCGGTGCTATGTATACATGTTGGATGACTCTTGACGTTAGAGACACCCATACTCTGGATTTCTTCGCAAATACCACTATGAGGTATGCTTGCTTACACAAACAGCCGACCCTCCCCCGTAAGTACCCACCAAAGGAAATTTCAAAACCTTTGGTTATCCAAGCATGCCTTCGTCATCCATGCCTACCAGCGCCGCGAGAAATGTGGTTGTGTTTTGCTGGATTTGAACCAGCGATCTACTGTCTCAAGTGGGATATGTGTCCAAGCTATCCAGACTTTACTTGGCAGACCGGCCAAGACGATGTACCACCGCACCATCCAACCATGGCGGTCTTTATAGTGTCGCCTGCACTCTCGCAACCGAAGTCTTGGCACGCTCAAAGCTCAATTCGTGAAACTCCTTGCCAAAATTCAAAATTCCACGCCCGTCGAAACTCAATTCATTCTTCGCATCATCTTGTTAACTTGTCCTGAATCCTTTCACGCCAATCCCAAAGAATAGTCTCCCAGATTTATGCGCCACGCTTTGTTTCCTCCGTCGGGTGTAAATATTGGCGTGGGCGTGTATTTGGTGACCGTCTGAGGCCAGAGATACTCGACGAGAGGTGTGATCATTGGAATAAGGATGTACTAGGTCGTACTTGTAGACTTGATGAAGCTTAGGTAGGAATCGATCTCGTTGGGAGTGAAAATTTGACGTGGTGGAGTAATTTGAATCATTGCCTCGTGGGCCAACTTGTTCGGTATTGCGAAATTTGACTGAAATTGGCTCTGGGAGAATATTTCACTCCCAGGTTCGTAGAGGACACCGCGTACAGGTGTTCAGTATTGCCCCCTGGTGTTGAGGATGGTCCCCCCATTAAAATCGGATTTTTCGCACGTTCCTTGTAAAAGATTACTGACGACGGATGAGTCCGGATATAAGGCATTCAAAATTTTAGATATGAGGAACAGTTTTACTTCTTACAGACGGGAACCTTAAAAAAAACAAATTAGCGACACCCCCAAAGGCTCCAAAGCAAAGATTGAAAGATTTGTACTATTATTGTTAGCACCAGAAAAGATATCAGACAAGTTTATGGACTCGAAAATATGGTATGCAATTCATGAACAAAAATTCCTTGCTTAGTCTTTAATTCATCAATAGAGCCGACGGATGTGTCGGCTTTTGATTAACTATTATGTGGGGTTATTATTCCGGACTCACCGAATTTTGAGATGCTAAATGAGTGAGGCATTTGAATTTGAACTAATTTAACCCGATCAGGCACCCTATGGGTCCATACAGGTGACTATCTTCATAATTTACAAAGGAGGAAACCAATCTGGTGAAATTCCTCTGATCCTACCTGCTGAATTGCTATCAAATTGTTTGGTTTACCTTCAGAAAGAGCAGTGTACACTGTTCAAACAGTGTGGATTCCGTCCTCTCCCTTTCCAGATTGTTTTATTCTATCCAAAATCGCTACCTCGACTCCCCATGTAATTCGAAACTGTTTTATCCATCCTTTGTTTAGTACCCGCTGTGCGATTCTAGCCACATTTCTGGGCTGTTAATCATTGCTTCAAATAGCCTGTCTTTAGCTAGTCGGATAACACATCGCCTCTTCCACTTGTCCACTGAGGACACGCCAAGACAATGTGCTCGACGTTTTGTGACGGATATCCACATTGATAGCTTGGGTTTTCTACTCCAGGCGCCTTTCTTCTGTACCAGTAAGAATTGATCCCAATATGCTCGGTTCTCAGCTGAATGGCGACACTGCTTTGGGTCCTGTTTAGTTTACGGCGGATATTTGAAGATGTACCTCTGAAGTTCATCTATTTACTTCCGGTTTGTTCATCCGTAAATATTTTTACAGCTTTCCAATGTTCTGGATCGGCTGGTGCTAGCCGGCCAGAGAGCAGCTTCCTATTCTGGCGTGTGCATGAATTCTTTCATTCCTGAAAGACCACTATCTTTCCATATTCTTTTTGCGAGTGAGGCATTAAGTTATCAGTAATGAAATATCCCGGCAAAATATACTCGGTCACAGATAATTATAGCGATAAGTTGACTTCCTTTTCGGAAGATGGTTTTTCTGAAAAAAACATGCCGTGAAGACAACCTACTTGATGATAGACTACGACTGATCTGTTGACACAATTGTTGAATAAAATCAAGACGTTCACTCTAATGACAAATACGGAAAAGGGAAATTCGTTTACAGACGTGCTGAAACTACGAAAGACGTGGCTGTGGCAGGGAGGTTTTGCAATTCTATTGGAAGACGATACGTGTGGAGTTTAATTAGGCTAGCTAGGATCAAATACGAAGTGTAATGAGATTCTGGAAGCTCACTCGCCCACAAGCCTGTCTTTATCGTTCCTTGGAAGAAACTTGTGCTGGAGATTTCTATCCATACAACAGGCAAGGCAGGATGCTTGAGCCTATGACGTCAAAGCTTTTGTGGAGTTTAATTTGCTCATGTACCGAGCTGTACCACTATAATGAGAAGCCAGCTATTGCCTCAGGCATATAAAAAGATTTCCACAAATATCTTATAATTGACCTTCTTTACTTCAAATTACGGACTAAGATATCTGATTTTAAGCCACTTTGCGGAAAATTCACCACTCCACCATTGTCCCAGATCTCAATTAATATTCTCCTCAAACTATTAACAAATCTTTTCTCATGGCATCGCCTGCCGCATCTACCGGCTCAACGAAAATTGACGCCGCCATAAAAAAGGTAGCTCCGGACACACCAGAAAAACTCAGCGGCGTCGCTCTATATTCGAGATTTGCTCTAGCAGGCGCCGTATGCTGCTCCATTACTCATGGAGGTCTAACGCCTGTTGATGTGTGAGTCTGCATTTATGTCCGCTTAATCCATGATCACAGGATGTCCAATACAGCCAATATTGATTCCTTTCGCACTAACCTCTATCCTCTAGGGTAAAAACTCGAATACAGCTTGATCCTGCAACTTACAACAAAGGACTTATCGGAGGATTCCGTCAGGTCATAGCAAAGGAGGGTGCGGGCGCTTTATTAACTGGAGCTGGACCAACATTCGCTGGTTACTTCCTACAAGGCGCATTTAAATTTGGAGGCTACGAACTTTTTAAACAACAATTCATAAATTATCTAGGATATGAGACGGCCTCAGCAAACCGCACAGCTGTGTACCTTGCATCTTCAGCCACTGCTGAATTCTTTGCTGATATTGCTTTGTGTCCTCTCGAGGCTACTCGAATCCGGCTTGTATCAGACCCAAATTATGCAAGCGGTCTTATAAGCGGGTTCAGCAAAATGCTAAAGAACGAAGGTATCGGTGCTTTCTATGCAGGATTTGGCCCTATTTTGTTCAAGCAGTAAGTATCTTATTTATTTCAGCTTGCATAGAAGAATAACTCACGAGACTCAAAGGGTTCCATATACAATGGCCAAGTTTGTCGTTTATGAGAAGGTTGCCGAAGCCATATACCAAAAAGTTGATAAGAGTACCACTTCAAATGGAATGCAAACCACCATCAACCTTGGATCAGGTCTTATCGCTGGTTTTGCCGCAGCGCTTGTCTCTCAACCTGCTGACACAATGCTGAGCAAGATCAACAAGACAAAAGGACTCCCTGGAGAGGGAACTACTAGCCGTCTTATCAAAATTGCGAAGGAACTTGGGCTTAAGGGCTCATACACTGGAATTGGCGCACGTTTGTTCATGGTTGGGACGTTGACTGCTGGTAAGTTTCTTTATAAATCCAATTATATGGTACCTTCTAATATCAAAACAGGTCAATTTGCCATATACGGCGATGTTAAAAAGGCTCTCGGTGCGACTGGTGGTGTGGAGATTTCAAAGTAATTGAGGTCTGGGGATAATTGGTAGCTAGCAATAAATCTATCGTCATCATATTCGCAAGACTTGTATGGGAGGAAGGCGAGGCTTGTCACAGTTAAAGGTTGAAGGTTATGGATCTCTCACTCAAGTTCTGCTCATTCTATGTTTGGGTTGGTCCAGGTAAAGATTGCTCAAATTTTGCTCTTGTATAATAGTTTGCATGATTTTTAAAAGAATAGGGTTCAAATTACATTAAAAAGTTAACGATCAAAACGTCCTTTCAATGCTCGAGCGGAACTAGTTCCAGATCTCTCACATGTGCAGATGAGATTTGAAACTGGTCAAATTTCTTGTTCAATAAGGGTTGGCCTATTCCCACTTGATAGCCCTGGAGGCAATGGTTAAACATAAGTAATGCCAAGGTGCCTTGTCAGAACCCGATCTCAGCCAAACATTGAAGCAGATAAGTACACGGAATAAAATGCTCAGTCTTGTAAGGAGGACTTACATATATATATGGTCTTATCAGGCTATTCCAGAAAGCAAACGTTTTTAATGGGCCCTTCCACTCTCAGCACAGTACTATCTCTGAATGAAGAACTTTTATATCCAAAAAATTACTGTGAGAGACTGAAGTCAAAAATCTAAGCGCTCGATGGATAATGGCAAAGACCTGAAGATCCCTAACTAATGACTCAAAAACATAACCTGTACACATGTAATTGACATATGAAGATCGATTTCCCGCTATAGCCTTGTTGAGTTACCAACGAAGTATACAATACGACGCCAAATACCTTTAGTAGAGCCTGTGAGTAGCTGACAGGTACGACATGTCATTTGCTTGTCTATGAAACCCTCTCGGAAACTACCTCAGCACAGCTATATACAGGCTTTATTGGGGGACGAAACTATACAACTATTAGTGGTGTCCCCTACGAACCTCCAGCTCTCACTGTAGTGTCTGCAGAGCCGAGATTGAGTAACAAAGTCCTCACTTTGATGAGGATTCCCAATTGCTTTCACGGTCTCTATGGTCTTCATCTCTCAACACATCCCCCTATCATTATTATCATGAAGCTGACCACGATCAGATCAGATGGTAGGGTCGGAGCCTTACTCATCACCAACCCTTGATCATGGAGGAGAAGCCATCCGATGAGTTTCTGGAGCGTACCTAGCACCCGATACGGAGATGGCGGATTGGATTAAGTCGGCCTAAACTGTTACAAAGAAGGGAGATATAGATGAATATGCGCACCTCATGTGGTCCCGGTGTCTAGGCCTCGCCTGGCTGGGGATGCGGGTTTTTTGGGACTTTTCCCGCGCACGCCGTTTCCAATGCTACCGTTTTTATTTTTTTGGGACGGTCCCGTCAAAAAGACGGCTGAATTCCACGGGTAGATAATTAGCTGAATGGCTATCCATCACAGGCGATGTTATAAATATTTCAAGTGATAAAAGAGGATAGGATCACTGTACAAAATGTGACCTGGGTCAGAGAGGAGCCCAACGTGCTAAATAATTGTAGACCCAAGTAGTATGTTGTGTAAACTACACATACAGGCTCTATTAAGGTGAAAGAATGGAGTAAGTTTATTCGACGAAAATTTCTTATGGCCCAAAATTTATTCTATTCAATTCACCAAAACACCTAGATTATTTAAACTCGGCATTGCCTAAGGTCTTTTGAGCAAATAATCGATGAGACTTGTGAATATTGTTGAGACTGAGGTTAATCCCTTTAAGGGCTCTGTGCTGCATAGCCAAACTTGATTTAGACCCAATGCTTTCTATTTGGTGCGGGGTGGGTAGGATACTTAAGAGAGTCTGTAGACGCCGTGTTTCCAACCTTCAGATTCGAATTGATTTAAAGACTATAAGGTTTATTTTCTCGTTTTGGGACTCAAAATCTTGAGATTTCAACGACCAGGTGAGATTTTTTGCATATTTTGACACCTATCTTTCCTCGGTTTTTTTATGAAGTGCTCATCTGACCTGTCTTTCTCTTTCGCTAACTAGTAATCATAGAGAGAATTGTATGCTAACTTTTCTAGCTTCATTCTGAAAAAGATATCATGGTTCACCTTGCATGCATTCCAAATGATAAAGGCGACAATGAAAACCTTGCCGAAGAAGTAGAAAGACTCGCTTTTAATGCCACTACTCAAAATAATGCATCAAATGTATCAATCTATGGCTCCATATATTCGACACAGCAAGTACCTATGTACGAGATCCCAGATAACGAGCTGCCAAAGGAGGTTGCTTATCGCATGATAAAAGATGACTTAAGTCTTGATGGGAATCCAGTACTCAAGTAAGATCGTAAGTCGATATCTTCATGTGACTAAGTTGCTGAACCGTTAAAGCCTAGCTTCTTTTGTGACAACTTACATGGTATGATTGATTTAATTTTTTATGCTACCGTCCAATCCATTTTTAATGCCCGCAAAGGAGAAAGAAGCTGAGGATCTGATGATTGAATCCCTATCGAAAAACTTCATTGATTATGAGATTTATCCACAAACCGCGGAAATACAGAACCGCTGCGTTTCAATGATCGGGCGTCTATTTCATGCTCCTAGTAGCCAAGGCTCTCAATTGATAGGCACCTCATGTGTCGGTTCCTCAGAAGCCATTATGTTAGCAACAATTGCGATGAAGAAACGATGGCAAAATTCTCGGAAAGCTACAGGAAGCTCCTGGGACAAACCTAACCTAGTAATGAGCTCAGCAGTTCAGGTTTGTTGGGAGAAAGCGGCAAGATATTTTGAAATTGAGGAAAAATATGTTTTTTGCACTCCTGATAGATATGTTATCGATCCCGTTGAGGCTGTAAGTCTCGTAGACGAAAACACAATTGGGATATGCGTCCTCCTTGGTACCACTTATACAGGGGAATATGAAGATGTTAAAGCTATCAACGACCTTTTGATCGAGAAAAATATTGATGTGGTGATCCACGTGGATGCTGCTTCCGGAGGGTTTGTCGCGCCATTCGTCGTACCAGAATTAGAATGGGATTTTCGGCTTGAAAAAGTAGTATCAATCAACACTTCTGGTCACAAGTACGAGTCACGCCTCTTTTTACTTTAATAATACTGACACTGCTAGGTATGGTCTTGTGTATCCAGGTGTCGGATGGGTGGTTTGGCGCGCTCCAGAGTTTCTCCCTCAGGAATTAGTCTTCAATATCAACTATCTTGGTGCCAATCAAGCATCCTTCACTTTAAATTTTTCTAAAGGTGCATCACAGGTTATTGGTCAGTATTATCAATTCCTCCGTCTCGGCAAGCATGGATATAAGGCCATCATGACTAACCTAACTAATACTGCCGACTATTTGTCTGAGAGGCTCCAACAACTAGGATTTGTAATCATGTCTAAAACATCAGGTAAAGGGCTCCCTCTTGTTGCCTTTCGTTTCAATTCTATGGCTCGAAAATCATACGATGAATTTGTTTTAGCACGTGAGCTACGCTCTCATTATTGGGTTGTACCTGCCTATACAATGGCCCCTAATACGAGTAATTTAAAAATGCTGCGTATTGTAGTCCGCGAAGATTTCTCAAGAGCTCGGTGTAACCAGCTTCTCAGAGACTTAAAGCAATGCTTGCAATTTCTGGACTTAATGAATCCAGAGGAATCTAAAAATTATGTAGCTCAGCTGGGTCCGCGTCTTCCTCATGGTAAAGAGGAGGAGAAAACCCCTTCAAATTATAAAAACGAGAAGCATAGTTTACAAGGAACGACAGGAAAAACTCATGCTGTTTGTTAGGCCCACATGAGGTTAGGCCACTGTAGAAAGAATTGACATATATAAATGCCCAAAGCCAGAAAAAGCCCCGATTTATGCTTTCTGATTCAGTATTTACTCGAAGGCAAGAGCGTCTTATCTTTGAGTTGTGTCTCGTTTAAAAACTCTTGGAAGATTATGAAATTGTGTTTTGTTACAAGTCGATGTAAATGAAGAGTATAATATTCGAGGCTCTGTTTCGACCTGTTGGATCTCCATATAGTTATGGCAGGTATTTTTTAGTCTGAAGTTATTCTGGTAGGTACAATACATTTAAGAGGTATTTGTGTTTGGCATGGGAGTATGTCTTATCCAGGGGATTGAATTTATGATTATTTGGGAAGTTTCTTAGGCGATAGACTGATCGGTATTCGTGGAGTTATATCCATAGATCCCAGAGTATGAATAGAAAGTTTCACGATCACCTTATATACTTCTAATGACGCTTAGCGTCAAACTTACAGATTTTTACTAGGGTCTCGAAAGCTTTGTCCGAAAAGAGTGATTGGTTGATCATAAATAAGTCAAGCTTCTACACTTTAAGTTTTTCCAGTGTATATTTTTTTGCGTCAGATTTTAATTGTGTACGCAGCTATCTTTTCCTATGAATAGCTGGAGAGTGTTTTGGGTCGCTATGAGTTGGGCTTCAAGAGGCGCTAATTGACGACAGTGGCCGAGCAAAACTTTACAGGCTTTTTTTCTCGAATATTTAAAATCTGGAAGAGGCTTTACCAATGCTAGTTCGTTTCCTAGAGTCAAAGTCTAATAATAACCAAAGAAATTGGAGGATGAAATGTCTCTCGTCAAAAATGGGGACTGTCCATACGTACGTACGTGGGTTGTCCGGTCATGTGTCATAGCTAGATAGCTGAATACGCATCAAATAATTTAAAAAAAAAAGTACGTGGGTTGTTTGCTTTTTTGAATGCTTGTATTCTGTATTCAGAGCCGAAAATCATCTCTTTCTAACGCATATCTATATAAAGAGTTCAAAAGATCGTGTCCATCATGATAAGTGAATATGGTCCTAGAATTCCTGGAGAGATAGGAATGAAATTGTTTTTACTGAGGTATTTTTTCCTTGAGATACAAATACACCTCGCCTGTCATAGGTCAGGCTCCTAGATACCTGAAAATTAGTGCTTAGTCCTGACTGTGGGGTACCCAAGTAATAGATCTATTTGTTTGTTTGAAACCTGACGTGCTAGGCCACTGGTATTTTCAGTATCTTTTTGAAACTTGGGGACGAATAGACATAGGCTAGATCAGGTTGACTATCATTTATTATATGATCTTCGTCCCATCTCAAGGATTAGAATACCCATGACTTCAAGTATGTGTGAGATCGTGTAAAGTCTCGCCATTCAGAGAGTCCAATGAGCATTCCTGGGTGCGCAAATACTCTTCAGCCACCAGATCTTTATCTCTAATCATTTAGCGCTAGCTTTACATAATTTAACCCATAAGTCGATTTTCATTCGAGAGTCTCGTCTTATAACTCAAAAGAGTTTCTTTCCTAATTTTTTCGTTTTTCTTTCTCTGTAAAATACTCCTAGTCTATAACTCCAGCTTTACCCATGATCGTAGATGTCGAGCACACATAAACTAGCTCGAGGTCAAGACACGTGTATCCAAGCCTTGACTGAGTACTCAGCTTGTTATGGCGACGAGATATTGTTCCAGTGTCATGGATGTTGATTTGTTAGTATCTAATTCCTTGGTACCTTTGGTTAGAGTGTGAAGGCACTCGAGTCGGCCATATCTATCGTACCCCGATAGCGGACAGGGTTTGTGGAAGGTTTATCTCCCTCCTATATATTTCATATCGATTTTTTAATTTATTTTTAGGAAGAATCGTCCAGCAATTAGGTAATGTTAACGAGAGTCGCGAGGTAGTTTCAGCATGCCTTAATTTCGAAGAAGTGAAGGGCACGAAGGGTGTTGGCCACTGATATGGAATCTTCAAGCGAGGTTTTGCCTATTCCCGGTCTTATTTGAGATAAAGATGATAAAAGCCGCTGATTTGTGCACTCTTGAAATATCTGGAGAAATGGATATGGAATAAAGACAAGCCAACACGACATTATCTCTCGAATTCCCTGATTTTCATCACCAAGTCTCAGCTGTGACAGAATATTTGAACTTTAGATTCGAAGGGTATAGCATTGACAAGTTTTCAGCCTTCAACGCGCCAGTGAAGATATCTCATATTTCGTAATTTTCACTTATATTTTTTTTAAATTATTAATGTGTATTCAGCTATCTAGCTATGACACATGACCGGTGCTATGTATACATGTTGGATGACTCTTTTGACGTTAGAGACACTCATACTCTGTATTTTATTCGCAAATACCACTATGAGGTATGCTTGCTTACACAAACAGCCGACCCTCCTCCGTGAATACCCACCAAAGAGACGTTTTGTAACCTTTGGTTATCCAAGCATACCTGCGTCGTCCATGCATATCAGCGCCGCGAGAAAAGTCGTTCGATTTAGCTGGATTTGAACCAGCGATCTACTGTCTCAAGTGGGATATGTGTCCAAGCTATCCAGACCTTACTTGGCATACCGGCTAAGACGATGTACCACCGCACCATCCAACCATGGCGATGTTTATAGTGTCGCCTGCACTCTCGCAACCGAAGTCTTGGCACGCTCAAAGCTCAATTCGTGAAACTCCTTGCCAAATCTCAATATTCCACGCCCGTCGAGACTCTATTCATTCTTCGCATCATCTTATTAACTTGTCCTGAATCCTTTCACACCAATCCCAAAGAATAGTCTCCCAGATTTGTGCGCCGCACTTTGCTTCCTCCATCGGGTATAAATATCGGCGTGGGCGTGTATTCGGTGACCGGCTGAGGCCAGAGAATGTCGACGAGAGGTGTGATCATTGGAATGAGGATGTACTATGTCGTACTTGTAGACTTGATGAAGTTTAGTTGAGAATCGGACTTTTTGGGAGTGAAAGATTGACATGGTGGAGTGATTTGAATTTTAGCCTCGTGGGCCAACTTCTTTGATATTGCGAAATTTGACTGAACTTGGCTCTGGGAGAATATTTCACTCACAGGTTCGTAGTGGACACCGCGTACAGGTGTCCAGTCTTGCCCTCCTTCACTTATCTTTGTATCTTGGTGAGTCTGCGTAAGGTAATTTGTAAGCTTCAAAAGGAATCCATTGATGAAGATAAAAAGTGGGTGTAATTCCCCATTCTATCACATCTCATCATTTCTTAATGTGCCATCTTTCTGTAGATCTATTATGGTTATGAGCTGTGCAAAAGTCATAGCGCGAAGTGATGGGGCGTGGATGATGTTAAATTTAGTGAGTGACAGTAAATAAAACCGTACGATATTATGCTGAAGGTATATGGATAGAAAATATAAGACTGGAGGGTTGTATGGTGCACTGGTACACCCTTCGGTCCGTTCTCCCAAGTAAATACCATGTAGCTTGATCACCTAACCCATTCGAGATAGGAGAATGCTGGTTTGAATCCAGTGAGACTCACACACCACTCTCTCTCGCGGTGATATTGTATTCGTGGGATGATTAAAGCACACTCGGATGGTCATAGGTTTTTCACACTTTTCCCTGTGGTGGGTATGCACGGAAGAGTTAGTACGCCGTCAGGGTCAACCTCGAATGGTACCTGCAAATGAAATCTGAGTGTGAGTGTTCTAAATGTCAAGTTGAGTCATCCTACTTCAAGTAGAGTCTCTACAGCTTGGAGACATATCCCACTTGAGGCAGAAGATCGCTAGTTCGAATCGGTAATAACTGAACTATATTTCTCGCGGTGCTCGTGTTGATGGATGACGAAGGCATTGTGACGGCTGGTTCCTGTAGCCTATGTTGGCTAACATAGGCTTGGTCCGATTTAGGGTGCGCACGATCGATCGATCTATTATCGGAGCATCGGAATCTGCATAGCATCCGATTCAACAGTGCAGCTCAACATGGCACCACTTGTCGGTGAGAAGCTATCGGCTGGGAATATATGAGATTAGACACAACCTCCTCAATTGATAGTGCAATGACGTCGTAGAACATGAGGCTCTTTTGTATATATACATGTGTAGATAGATCTTGTACTAGTTCTCTCCTTAGAATTATTATCTACTACCATCAACCACATAGTTGCTCCAGCACCTGTCCTAGAATCCGTGACAGGCATGCTTGGATAATCGAAGGTTTCTAATTTCCAATAGGTTCATACATACGGAGGAGATTCGAATGTTTGTGTAAGTGAACATTCCTCAGTGGCATTTATGAATGAAATCTAGAATATGA